GGTACCAGGGCGCAATGACGCAAGCCGACCTCGGACGCGCACCGCGTGGCATCAGCTCGGCATTTAAGTGAATCATAACTAATTCCCGAGGATCTCGCCCTAGACGAGGTCCGTTATCTAATCATATTACATCTTATCTCAGGCCCAAGGCCCAAGGCAACCCTAAATCACATCAAGGTACGTGCATTACATATACGAGACTAATACTCACACAAAGACTAACTTTAGCATCGGAGTCTCTTTTGCAGGTACCACCCCCATCTTGGAGCATCGTCTAGGGCGAGATCCTCGGGAATTAGTTATGATTCACTTAAATGCCGAGCTGATGCCACGCGGTGCGCGTCCGAGGTCGGCTTGCGTTGTGGTGCCGAGGTCGAAACTCGGCTTCGCAGTACGGATAGTACATGACCTATTTTATCAAACCATATCTGCATCAAATATTTTTATTTTCTAATGATCATTTTTAGAATAAATTTAATAGGATTTTTTCCTTAATTTTTTGTTTGAGTTCCTTAATACTTTGGTGACTTGAGTAATTTATAATATATTAAGGAATTATACGTATGTTATAAAGGTCAAATAATCTCGATGTATTTGCTACTAACAAAACTCGAAAGTAACGAGTCTTTTATTAGATTCAGCAATCTTATATATATATAATACATGCTTCAAACAGAAAGAAAAACAAGACAGACAACAAATGCAATCAGAAACAGTTACAGATATTAACTAAGACAGAAGCACCGTAAATCCAAAGGATTCAAACTTAAATATAGCTTGAAATGCTAAATTACTTGAACTATTTAACATATGAAAAATCAAAGCAACAAATCTGTCAATTTCCACAAATAAACAATGGCATCCATCACAGTGCATTTTCAACTTTCTTGGCTTTGGAGGAACTCAACCACTTGCTTCATGGTGGGCCTTACATCTTTGTCTTCCTCTACACAATCCAACGCAACTGTTGCCAAAATTTCCATCTTATTCACGTCATAATATGTCCCAATTGTAGGATCCATGATTTCCTCCACCCAAGAATTTCTCCTCTGTTTCCCTCTCACCCATGTTACCAGCCTCCCATTGTGTGCCTCTGTTCCATCAACTGTTTCAATATCCATTGTTGGGCTTTTTCCAGTTATCATCTCCAAGAGAACAATTCCATAGCTGTAAACATCAACCTTTGAGGTTATTGGTAAATTGTAAACCCACTCAGGTGCCATGTACCCTCTTGTTCCTCTTATCATTGAAAAACTTGAATTGTTGTTGAGGGTGTTTCTGTTTAGTAGCTTGGATAAGTAATTTTAGCAAAATTCATTCTAATTTTTAAAATAATAATTGAATATATAAATAAAAAGATAAATTTGTATAGTGTATTATATTTGAATTTATTAAGAAAAAATTGTATTTTAGAACAAAAAAAAGAAAGTTATGTAATACTAGCATCTTTAAAGAGGTGTTAGTATAAATGATATTTGATAATATTTTTTTTAATAAAAATTAACAAAATTATAAAAAAAAATTTACAAGATGGATGGAGTATAATATATCAAAATATATCATGAGAATCGTAATTTTTACATTAGAGAAAAAAAATATAATATCCATATCTATCTGGAGAAAAGTAATTTACTACCATTACCATTATGTGTTCTTAATATTTATTGAGAGCAAATTCTTTTGTAAAGTTATATATATATGTTTCATGTACTATAATATTATATTTTTTTGTTAATTATTGTGTTTTTACCAATAATTCTATGTTGTGATGTTCTGAGATGAGGTGTTGAGAGACTTGAGTTAAGAAACTCCTAAGGAGTCTTTAGGTGTTTTAAAGAGTTTCTTTGGATAGAGGTTCAGTTTAACCTTAAGAGGGGAGTATATAAGATTTCTTTTGAGAATTGAGCTTCATAAACTCATTTCCTCAAAGAACATTAGAGAGAGTAAAGTGAGACGCTTTAGAACAAGGAAATGAATCCTTCCATGGTGATCTTGAGTGTTGTGTTAATGACTTGAAGCCTTTGGAGCTAAGAATTGGAGTAGGTGCATAGTTTTCTTGGTGTTAGTTCGAAGTTCTTCTTCCTTCCATATTGGTGAGGTAAGAGAAACTATAATAATTCTTGTTGATTGTGTTGTTTTCCACTTGGAATGGTTGATTGAATTTCATTTTTGGGTGGTTGTTATGATTGTTAGAATTGAAAATGATAGATGGTGGGCTTTTTAGGTGTTTAAGTACATGTGAGTATGGATTTTTGGATGATTTGATCTTATTTGCTATTGCATGTTGTTATGGTGAAAAATAAGTTGTCGAGAATGTATATGTATGAATGGTTGCAAAGCATGTTGATGATTTTATGATTTTCATGTAGGTGGAGCCAAATTCGTGAGTCTATAAGTATATAACTCACTGTCACATAAAACACGCCTTCATGGCGTTGGGCATGATTTGAACCACGGGTACTTTGTCTTGTTCATGTTGAACACAAGATTAGTATCGTTGGGTGTGAGGAGAGAGAATTGTCTTGGGCTGAAATGGCATTAGGTGTGGGTTTGAATGACGTTGGTGTGAGGTGAGAAAAATTGACTTTGTTTGAATTTGTGCTAGGCACCAAAAGAAGTGGCGCCTGACATGAGGAGAGGGAATTTTCTCTACTTGATTTGGGGTTGGGTGTGGGACTTTGCCATGCCAAGCAAAAGGGCCCAAGGATCTCTACCTAATCCACACTAGGCGTGGGGTTTATGACATCAAAAGTGGGCGAGGTAGAGAGCCCCTTGCCTCAATGGTGTTAGATGAAGGTGTGTGGCAACGGTTGCAAGTTTCTTTGAAAATTCTTGTTATTATGATGAAATGGTGAACATGAATATGTTAGATGAATCTATTATATATTGTATGTTGATTGGTGATAAGTTTTTTATGTATCTTGATTAGAATAACATATATAGATGGTTATATGGTTGAATTGTTAATATGCATTTGTATGTTATAAAATGATTTTTGTTGATAGTTCTATATGCATTGACATGGGATAATACATATAGATGTATCTTGTTGTGGTGTAATGATGAGAATGCTTTAAAGATTTAGGCATGTTGGTTGACTTGGGACTAGAGGATGAGTATTTTCGAAAGTTGGATATTCTATTCTGTGGATATTGGTGATGTGTTCTGTGAGCTCAATTGTTAAAAAACGCTCCTTGAGTAGGTGCTATCTCTTGGAATAGACTATTAAGTTTCCTCTAGGACCTTAGTTGATGTAGTATCTAGACAAGGTCGAGGCATACCAACTACAAGTGACCAATGTTGATCATTATGTAGGCAAGGTTGGGTTACTTGGTGGACTAATTCCAAAAGGGGTTTAGTGTTGCAAGCTAATGCTTTAGTAGGCTCATACCCAAACTATTCTACCTTTACAATAATTTGATAAATCATGTTGTAGGGATTTGTATCTTGTTTGGTTGTTGACCAAGTAGGTGTAAAAAAGTCATGTTGGTTTGATAGAATAAAGCTACTTAGACTGCTCACTTTGCTGTAGGAGATCTTCATAAGTGAATGCATGATGACTCATTAGTTGAGGTGTATGCATATGATGTGATGTGACTTTGATATTGTTTATATGCTTTGGTGATTTCATGGTTGTATGGCATGGTTTTGGTGTAAGTTTGATTTGCTTGCCTTTCAAACTATTTGATGCCATGTCGGGTGTTGTATGATGTAGGCCACGAGGTGCATGTTAGATGATTTATGTAATGACCCACCATGGTCTTTACACTAAACGATACATCTACTAGTAGCGAAAATTTAACATCTTAGAATTGTAAGTATACTAGTGCTTGGATACATATCATATATCTTGCATATAACAATAAATTATTTCTATGAAACGTATATCTACAATATAGATATAATAATTCAGCTAATAGTAAACTATACAACCTAAGTTGCCGATCAATCAACTCTACAATTATCTATACAAATCTACCACCAATAGGTAGTCATAAAAAAGACATATATCTTCAATGCCATTGTATGGCTTCCACTACAACACTTTAAACCTATCCTTGCTCTGCTCCCATACCAGTATGATCATCGTAATCCAAATCACATGTAAATATGCAAAGGTAAGCTAAAGTAAAAATAAACAACATATATAAAATAGGAACATTAACACTTTAGTACATCATCACATCATCATCTCATCTCCAACATTGATAACATAAGACATCATAATATGGACAACACATATCAACATAAGCTGCTCAGTTTCAACACATCAACACATCTCATCACAGATTAACACAACATTTTAACAACACAATTAAATCAACTCATCATGTGCTCAACACAACAACTATATGCATTGTCACGTATTTCAACTAGGAGATCTTCTACAACACAGGGTAAGTAGTTTAAGTGGCTTGACCCTACCAAATTGACAACATAGGGCGAGCTTTTTGTGCTTGTTAGATCAAGAATAAATTAGATACAAATCCACAACATAGTAACTCGAACTTTTGAATTTCGCCACTTAAACAAGAAAGTTTAGTACATCTGTTAGGGTAGAACAATTGGATATGAGCTTACCATGACATTAACTAGCTTAACTAAGTCTCTTGGGATTCCCATAAACTACCCTCCAAATACTATGCCCTTCTAATACTTGGTTGGAAACTAAGTTCTTGACTTTGTACTTTACTCGGTTGGTCACTTGTAATTAGTACAACTCAACTTGGCCCCTATACTATGGCCACTTTATACACATGTGCCTTAACCTTGTCCACACACGGTATCAACTAAGTCCTAGAGGAGACTTAACACAACTATCCACTTTAAGGGTCAACTTCTCAAGAATTATTTTCAACAAATGAGCTTTCTAAGTGCCACAACACAATATCCACACAATGAGATATGCAACTTTCAAGAATCTCTCCTCTAGTCTTAGGTTGGTCACACAACTCAACAACACCACGGCTAAATGCCTGAAACATTCTCAACATTCATCATCTCAACAACACAACAACTTGTAACATATTCAACACAAATAACACACAACTCTGCAACTCACAACATACATATCAACTCATATTACAACACAGTTATCACATACAACTTCATCTCTATAACTCATTCATCATTTATTCATTTAACAACTAAACCAACAAGTATTCAACATTTCATCAACTACATCAACACATTTTTCTTTAGCAACTAGCTCTTGATGTTATACACTTAACGCTTGATGCCATCTAAGTAGGGAGCTTTTTGCCTCACAAACGCCCGACACTACACAACCCATGCCCTACGTGGCTAAGGCAGATGCATTTGTGACCTTGCACTTGGCGTGGTAAAACACAATGCACGACCTTAACTTAGGTAGATAGTCTTTGCTTGACTCACGCCTGACACCACCATATCGACACTCGACGTCATCCAAATAGAGAGCTTTGGCTTGGCCATATTGGGCACCGGTCAATTTTGGGCCTAACATCACCAAGTTAGAAACCTCTCAACATTCTCAGGCCCGACGCCATTCAAAACAAGTCTGTTGCCATTCCAACTTGAGATGAGTCTCTCTTCTCATGCCCGATGCCATCGATCCTACACTCAGTCGAGACAAAGAGCCTCAATTTAGAACGACTCCCGATGCCATGAAGGCATGCCAGATGTGACATCAAATTTTACATATGTAGAACCCGATTTTGAGCCAAAACCTAAAATCTAGCAAGGTTCAAACTCATGCAACATAAAACATCTATTAAATACACCACAACTAACTCATATATGCATTTAAATTCAACATGCCACCACAAATCATCTCATATCATCACATTTTTCATCAAGAACCCAAAATCCTTATTCTCACTATAACCCACTTTGATTTGATCCACACACAACCACTAATTTCAAAGAATTCTTACAACATACAACTAATTCAACTCAACATTCCACTAAAAGAAAAAATCTAGATCCCCTTACCTCAGAATCGAGGAGAACCGAGGAATGAGAAGAAGAAAACTCAACAACAAGACTTCAAATGGATCTTCAACTCAATTCGGGGCTCTTAATCACTTGAATTTACCAACAAGGCATCACAATAAGAATCAAATAGAAGGAAAATGATAAGATTGACATAAAAAGAGAACTCAGAGATTAAAGACCTTCTCTCTAGAATTCTTTCTCTAGAAAGTTGAGGCAGAGTTTATGAGACTCTCTTTAAAATAGAAACCTTATGTACTATTCCTCTTGGGATCAAACTAACTTGCTACTTAGAGAAACCCTTAATACTATAGAAACTCCTAAGGGATCTTCAGACTCTAGAGTCTCTTAACACAGATTAGCAACTAAAATCATCAACATGAAACAACTTAGAATCACAATGTTACAATTTACATGTTTTGTTGATGGTATATTTGTTTTTTCTCTATACTTGTATACGCTTATTATTTTGGAAATCTAGTTTATCCTTACATGTTTCCTAATGATTGGAATGTGATGATCATATTTATGTGAGAGCAAACAAGGTTAAGCTTAAGGAGTCGGGCGTGTGATGAGCCACGCTGATAGATGACAATGTAGTTGGAGGGCTACTTCTAGTTTTGTTGTAGTTACTTGAGTGACACCTAGGATCATATATTATAGTTTGGATTACCATATATATATATATATATTACAATATTTTCTAAGATCTATAATTATGTAAACCTTAGATAAGTGTTGTATTTCATGTTACTAGTAAGTGATTTCGTAAGTATAGAGATCATGATTAGTCGCTATATATATATATTCTTAACGTAATACGAAATCAACTACTATAAGCTAATCTATAATTGTAGGACATGATTTTTGTTAATAAAACATTATTATTTTTAATTATAGATGCTAGTACATATATTAAATAATATTTATTAGCTATTTCATATATGGATAATATATAATAAAAATATTAAATAATATTTAATTTTTTATTCACATATAACAGTTCAAAGTTCATGTAGAATAACTAATCTATACTAATATATAAAGGGGATACTCTTTTTGGTAACTACCTTGGTCTCCACTTTTTTTGACCATTATTTTGTAAGTAATATTCCGTATATAACTAAAAATTACCTACAAAAAAATTTCTGTAAGTAATATTCCGTAGATAACTAAACATTATCTATGGAAAAAATTCCGTAAGTAATATTCCGTAGATAATAATAATTTTTCTTGTAGTGAAATTTGTTTTGTCTCTACTCAAGTGGTTTTCATCCCTCAAAATGTGATATTCATTAATTGCTAATATGTTTTATTGAGTGTTAAGTGACTATCTCAAGTGCATTTACAAGTTTATAGTATTATTTTAACATGTGACACTTTAAAAAAGATTTTAAATCCTTAAAATAAATATTACTTATCTATCTTAAAATGATTATTGTGTATTAAAATAATGATTTCAAATTTTAAAGTGGTGAAATAAAAAAATATTTTATAAAAACTAAAATAAAAAAATGACACATTTTATAAGAATCAAAAATAAGGATTTCAAAATTTGAAAGGACGAAAAAACAAAGAAAAAAAATTGTATATAAAAAAAATCAAAATTTCATTTTATAGAAATTAAAAACTATTTAAGTGAAGATCAAATGAATCCATATTATTATCAAGTAAAAAGGAAATATTAAAAAAAATTAATTATGATAATATATATAACATAATTTTATACCCAAATTAAAGATTCAAAAGATAAATTCCAAATAAACTGATAATAATGTTAATAAATTGTTTTTTTTAGTTTAAGAAAGTTGTGCCTTAAAGTTTACGTCAGGGTACTTAAATAAATAATTAAAATTAGGATGATATTGCATTTGTGTATACAAACACAAATATCCAACTGGCTCATAAATTAAAAGAATTGAGCTCTATTTTATTGAAGTTTGAGTCATTTAAAACAACTTACCAGTCAAGTTCAAATTAATCTTAAGCTGATTTAGTTTATTACAAGCTCTAAATGCACTAAACTAGTAGTGTATGAATATACCATTAGTTTTAATAAAAATACCTTGGGTCCAATGATTTTAATATTTCTATAAAAGAACCGAAAATTAGCAATTGTTCAATAAATAATATTATTTTATGAAGAATAAGTAAATAAGTTTTTTTCTTTTTCCTAAAAATAGGTTATTATGAGTTTCTCTTTTCATAGAGTTTCATCTCAACATGTGTGTATTGAATGTGTTTATATGTGTATATATTATATAAACTCAGATAAATATCCAAAAACTAGTTAATAAATTAAAAGAATTAAACTCTATTATGTTCACGTTCAGAATCATTTAACCAAGGAATCTAATTTTCAACTCATTTAAAACCAATTTACTAGTCTTAAGTTGATTTAGTTCACTACACGCTCTAAATGCAATACACTATTAAATTTAATAATTATTAATAAATAAAAATACCTTGGATCCAATGATTTGAATCTCTGGAAAAGATGTCTGTGAGCTTCCATATATTATCTTGGCATGCGTATTAAAGCCCCACATTGGAGAGACTGTTTTCTTTGGCCTTTGCTTCAATATTCTCACCTTCGTCTTGCTCTGTCACCAACCAATTGTAAGGAAGCTGAATTTTGGACCGCTATGCTTGCCCTCAGCACAATAACCCCACATTTCAATCAAGTTCATGTGGTTAAGCCTTCCAATGATGCTGACTTCAGCAAGGAATTCCCCTTCTCCTTGTTTAGCTATTTTTTTTAATACAATGCAGACACGTAGTGCCTTTTGTCTACTAGATAAATAATACAATCGTATAAATAATTTTACAAGAAAAAAATATATGATAGAAACGAATAGAGGAACAAATATGCACGAACTATTTTTGTTCCTTTCGATTCGTATAAACATATCCCCTTTGCATGAATTATTCAATACGAAGTGCCTCGGGCCCACTAGATAAATAATAAAATCGTATAAATAATTTTACTTTACTTATTACTATTATACCTTGAATGTAAAAAAAAAAACTTATATCTTCTAAAATTTCTAATATTTATCTATGTATAATTATTATATCTTTTTATTTTTATATGGATCATTTTATTCTTTATTTATTTTTTAATAACTATCTTTTTATGAGTAACTTCTTATTTTTTATTTTTTATTTTAATACAATATAGGCACGGAGTGCCTTTTTCCTGCTAGTCATTGATAAAAAACATTAACTAATTCGACGCTTTTTTTACGGTAAGTAATTAAGAACAAAAATAATATAATATTTTTTTATTCATAAATAACCGTTTTAAAATTCTGGTAGAATAACTAATAATTGAGACTACTTCGACATTTTAATTTTTTAATGCCAGTAATTAAATATATATTGTAGAACAGCTTCGTTGTTCCTATCCTGATTTCCCTGTGATACCGCATTCTCTCTCTGCGTTGTTGAACATTCAGAAAATGGAGAACAACGCATTCAGAGATCGAATCTTTGCAGAAAATGAACAAGAAGAAATCCCCGATTCCTTTAATTGCTGCGTTTGTCTGTAAGTCTCTTTCAATTGCATATTTTTTTGTTTACTTCTCAGATTCTTATGTTTCCAAAGACAAGAGAGGAAAGTGAAGCACCCTTTGCTATGTTCATCATCAAGGCTCAATTTTATGCTTGAATTCTAATTCATATTTCAAAAGGGTCACCAAGGATGCCTTTGATTTAATTTAATTTAATTTCTTTTGGAAGAAATTTATTCTTGAATCAGGCATAGTTGATGTGAACAATTCCAAGGCTTTTTCCCCCTTCTTGATCTGAAGTTAGTATACCAGCATTTTATATATGAAATTTCAATTGAATACCAAATTCATTGAACGAGTTGTGAATGCAAAGAAAAGGAATAACTCAGAGTAATAATTTCTCATTTTTTAATTTTTATTTGAAAAATAAAAATTTGACTCCAAAACCCAAAAATCTTGCCCCTTGATGCAGGATTAGAGGTTTTACATTCACGAGCTTTGGAATTTTTAATCTGTTTTTTAAAGTGAAAAGGATCATATTGTTCCATTTTAAGTTGGTGTATGAGCTGCTATATTTTATTTTTCAAATTGTATTTACTGATTTAACTTTACTTTCATTATGCAGGGATCTATTATACAAGCCCATTGTGCTATGTAAGGCAGCATTGTTTTATAGAAATACATATGAATATGTTTTTAGTGTAATAAATTCTCAGTCCTTTTTCCTCTCTATTTGCAGCTTGTGGTCATATATGCTGTTTCTGGTGTGTCTATAATTCAATGAACTGTCTGCGTGAGTCTCAATGTCCAGTATGTAGGAATCAATACTATCACTTCCCAACAGTCTGCCAAATGCTTCACTTTTTGCTTCTTAAGATCTATACTGTTGCTTACAAGAGAAGGGAGAACCAAACTCTTGGTATGTCTCTTTCTCTAACGGCTTATGCATGAGCATATTAAATATACATATGCAATGTTTCTTATACAGTCTTGATGATTTATTTTGCAATGCATTGAATACAACGGTGTTTCTAAAATTACCATGGTTATCTATTAATGGTGATCCATTCAAGCTGTGCACTCAATGCATCACAACATGATTGATTATTATGGGAAAAATGTTGGGGTAGCATATATTAAGGAAAAGTTTATGGAAACTCATTTAAGGTTGTTTGGTTACGGGAGAAGAAGATCAATATTGATTCTAGTGAGAAAAGTGAATCAAAGGGATGATAGTTCAACTATAAAAGGTAGAGGAAGACCTAACAAAAGATTAAAAGTAACTGCTAAAAAAGACCATGCACTAAATACTGAAAATTTTCTTTTTAGTAGATCGCAATGCTGTCAAGTCCTCAATCAATTAGTCCATGTAGCCAACCTCATTTCGTAGCATAATGCTTGGGTTTTGCTGTGCTAGTCGTCAATTGGGCTAGGTACCTAACCTCCATCCAAAGCTTTTATTTCCATGTCCTTGAATTCACGTATGCCAGACCACCAACTGGATCTGATATCAAATTGTTTCTTATTGGTTCTTCAACTAAACAGAAGATGAGTTGAGTGTTTTGAATGACCTTTTCAATCCACGCCATGATTCTCTTAGACTCTTAGGATGTGTTTGGATTGGTGGTAGAGGGTGGAATGGAGAGGGATAGAGTGGAGTGGAGGGAGAAGTTGTTCCATTGTTTGGTTTGTAAAAGTAGAAACAGAACATAATGGAAGAAGATGGATCTTGATCCATTCTATTTCATTTCTTAACACCAATTTTCTTCCCCTTAAATTTGGGGTGCACTTGATGGAACAAAATTTTAGGTTATAAAATGACTATTTTATCTTAATCATCAGTCTCCTAAAAATAATATATTTAAAATAAATATAATATGAGAATTAAAAGGTTAGAGCATCCCATCCCATTCTTTTTCCAAACATTTGAATGAAATATTTGTTTCATTCCATTATAAAATGTCTAAACAATAGAATAACATTTTTATTCCATTCCAATCCACCCGTATGAAGTAAAAAGTAAACTATATCCATTGAGTTAGTCAAATTATACTTTCAATCTGATGCTAATAAAATAAGCCAAAAAGGGAGCACAAACCCATAACTTTGAAATTACTTCAGTTTATGATATTATTATACCTTCCTCCTCTGGTAGTGGCTTCCTTTCTTGTGATAAAGGGTTTTCTTCTTATCAACACCCAAGGGACCTAGTAAAAGAATTTGTTATGAAGAAAATTATTCTAATCCTCCCACTCTAAAGTAGCTGTCTAATTTCTTTTTTTTTCCTTGGAATCTTGGATTGCTCTCATCCCCTTAGTGTGTCAATTTAGGTTTTCTTCTCTAATGGATTGTGGCTCATAAGCTGTCTGAACATTTGTTTTCTCTTCACTCTTATGATTTGTGAGCTCCTTGTTCATCATTTTGCACCTAGTAGCTGCTCTTTAGGATTTTCTATATAGTTCAGCTTCTCTTAGTAACTGAGACACTAAGTGCAACAATGTCTTCAATAGTGAAATGCTTGTAGAAAAGGGAAATACGTTAAGCTGCTCAAACATATGGAGAATCCCTTAAATGTATTTCTGCAAATTACCGCAAATGTATAAAATATTAACATTATTAGTTTTTTTAGTTTCTCTAGAAGAAATTGTCAATACTATTATAAAGTTGTCAGTATTAACTCATATCATGATGTAATAAAGCCTGCTTTATATGAGGAAATCATATAATACTAGGATATTATTGCATGTATTGGTGAAGATGCTGGTACAAAAGAACATAGGGTATTAGTACGGAAAGATATATAATATAAAAATTTAAAAAGTACAAATGATCTAATACTTGAGTACATTGAGAAAGCAAAAGATATTTGAAGAGTACAAGGACTTTGTGGCAAAATGTTGCATTTTCAGTGGACTGGCTTATTCTTAAGTCATATCAGCTCGTTGCAGTACATAACTAAGCTTCACCCTAACACATATGCTACTGAATTTTTTCTTCTTTTAATATTATCCTGCCCACATATATGATGTATCTCTTGGAAATAATGTAAATAAGATACCTATAGGTTGATTTCATGTTGACTGTTGTATACTACTATGTAATTATGGTAATAAGGTTGGTAATCACAAATCATATTTATGTCTTGTCACATAGTATAAATATTGTTCTATGCCATGTTATTATATGGTTCAACTTGAAGGGAAATGTTAGAATAATGTAAATAGGCTGATTTTAGGTTGATTTAATGTTGTTTATTACTACCTCTACTCCTAATTTTAAGCAATAAATTAGATTTTTATTTGGTCCTAATTATTATAAGTTACAATCAACAGTTTTTAAAGTTATTCAGGGATAAATTTTGTTATACCCTTAATTTATTATTAAGTCTGTCTTATAGATTCACTCATGCCATATTCATTGGATTATGAGTATTGACATTAAATATAGCAATCACTTAGAAACAAAGGATATCTTTGGAACAAAATTTGAATTTATGCTATCATTAATTAAAAATAATTAATTTAATTACTTTTCTTAGTTTTGATGATTTGTCTTGTGTTGTTTATAATTAGGACTGGAGGTAGTATTATATACTTGCTTGATACCAGCAACCATATAGAAGCATCCATGTGTCTTGGACTAAGTAGAATTTGGCTTAGTTTAGATAAACTTCTCAAAGGCACTTATAGGAGAAGAGATAGCGTGTAAAATGAACCAAACTTCTTACCTAAGATGGAATCATGTTATGCACTTAGCTTTCAGAGTAGATGATAGGAAAACATTTCTAGGAGAAAAACATAGGAAGGGAGCTAAAACTAGCTTATGCATAAGTTAAAAATAAGATTTTGGAATAACTAATAGAAGAGAGTTTCTACAAATTAGCTTTATACATAAGCTGATTTTAGTTTACAGAGAAACTTATTTCATTTTTTCTTTCTATTTTTCATTCCTATAATACTTCTGCAGAAGTTTACCACCCAAACTAGGCCTAGCATGGATAAACTTTTAGCTGCTCTGTTTTTGAATTCTATGTTCTCTTGTTTTATGGATATCCAAAACTTTATAATATGATTGTGTTTTTTTGATTGCATTTATATTCTTGGTATTCCTTGTACACTTCCTGAGAATGCAGTTTTCTCTTCCTTCTTTGATTCCATTTTCTAGTGAATTTTTATTTAGCATAAAAAAATTACATATAAAAAAATGCCACCTTATACCCAGAAATACTCTCCCTTCTATATGTATTCTAGCAAATTGAAGGGGGTTTATTTGCCGTATATATACATAATACTATTAGATATTATATTTTTCAATAATGTAGATATTGGTAATAGGATTGTAAAGTTTGTCAAGTGAGATTTCACTCGACAAATTTTTCGATTTGTTGCTATTTATCATTATCTACATTATTGAATTTTATAATATCTAATAATATGATATATATATATATATATATATATATATAGTAAATAATCCCCTTCAATTTGCTAGAATACATATAGAAGGGAGAGTATTTCTAGGTATAGGGCAACATTTTTTTTATATGTATTATCCTTTTGTCTACTTGGGATAATTTTATCAACCATTCCTATTCACATCTTGTTTCAGAGGAAGAAAATAAATCAGGGTTCTACTCCCCTCAATTTGATCCTGATACTTGTGAATCGCAAGCTAAATTTGGTCATTCTGGTATCCCTTCTTCCTCCTCTATTACGAATTTGACATCCAACTCTTGCAATGTGGGAACTTCTGAATGCGTGGAGCAATCAGGGCCCACTGCCCATGAAGGAGATGAAGGCACTGTCTATTCTGATGGAAAGCCTGATATTAGAACTCCTGCTAAAGAAAAAAAAATTCCTCAGGAAGAGCTTTCTCCACAACAGAAATTATCAGTTGCAGATGTGATGTGTACAATGTGCAAGCAACTGCTCTTTCATCCTGTAGTTCTTAATTGTGGTCATGGTACTCAATGCATTCAAGTTTTCTTTTCCTCTCAATTATATTGATTGATATTATCAACAATAGATCACTTAATTTTTTATTTTTTATTTTTTATAATTCTTTTTCTACTTTTCCTCATTCCCTACAGTATACTGTCAAGCTTGTGTCATGAACATAGATGATGAGATGCTTAGATGTCAAGTTTGTCAAAGTCCACATCCCAGAGGATTTCCAAAAGTGTGTTTGGAGTTGGATCACTTTTTGGAGGAACAATTTCCTGAAGAATATGGACAACGGAGAGATGCCTTTGAACAGAGGCAAATCAAAGTCAAACCTGAGATCCCTTCTTCTGGTATGTATATTATTAGCGTACATTTATTTTTCATGACTGATATCTTGTAGCATACAACTTTGGGTAAAAATATTGGAATAGATGTGTATAACTTTCAGTTTTTCTTTAAGAATATGTTAGAATATTTGTTATGCTTTGACCTGTTTGAGAGTTCATGTATAACCCCTATTTATGCTAAATATTAGATTCCTAATTTTAATAAAATAAGCAAACAAATATGGAATATATCAAAATATGGAAATCACTCCTATGATGTCTTAAGCGATAATCTTAAATACCATAAACCAATAATATAAGGCATTTTCTAAAGATTTCCCAATTTGTTGATTTATTGTTCTACAATTTGGTGTTCTTTGATTATTATTCTATTTTTTTATTTTTTTTTATCATATTCTTCTAGTTACTATGTATTTGTTTTCTTTCAGGTTCATTGGATAATGGTAACAAAGGAGGAAGTATAGATTGGTGGACCGATCCTGACTCAAAAGTTCACATTGGAGTTGGTTGTGATTTTTGCGGGGTAAAACCTCTATGTAGTCCATCATATCTAGGATTTTTGTTCATGTGTTGTTTTGTTTTCCATTTCCTTTTGTTTTCTTTTATGCATGTTATATTCTTTTTTTTTTTTTTTGTGTGTGTGCTATACTAGGACATACACTTCATCAAAGTTCTCTATTTCATTGACCTAGACAGGTGGCGATCATTTTATGTGATTGCTTGTCATGTGTTAACTGCTAGGTACTGACATGTAATTGACACTGCGAGTCTCACATGTTCACAAAGGGTTATAAATTCCCTGTTCTAGCTACAAACCTGTCATTGTAACTTGCTTATTTGCCGCACATTGCCAACTTAAATACTCATGCATTTTCAAATGGTTAGAGATGATCATCTACACCCAATTAATGATGCTTTCACAGATACTTATCTCATTAGTAATTTTCATTATTTTTGTTTTCAAGTTGATTTTCACCTGGCAATTGCATTCTGTTGAAAGCCATATTTTGTGTATTATTGTTGTCATTATTTGAGATGCCTAGCTGAAAAGATTTATTTACTTCTCTTTTTGTTAATTTTTTATATCACTGGAATATTATGCTTATAATTTTGTGCAGTCTGGTAACGTGTGACTTCTCTGTACAGATGTTTCCCATAATTGGAGATAGATATAGATGCATTGACTGTAAAGAGAAGATGGGTTTTGATCTTTGTGGTGATTGCTATGCAACCCGGTCCAAGCTTCCCGGTCGATTCAACCAACAACACACCTCAGAGCACAAATTCAAGCTTGTAGAACCCAACGTTCTTCAGAACATAATGTTGAGGCTGGCCACAGCACAATTAGGGGACACTTCTATGGACCTGGGGTCTGTAGGAAACTTAGAAATTACTGCAGATGGCGCTGCATTGTTTGATGATGGAGAAGATAACCACAGTGACTCTGAAGGCACCAACTGAAAAATTGAGCTCAACAAAAGTCCATGGTCTTCCATTGAGAGAAGCAAATAATGCAATGCTTCAAGGAGTTTGCTAGTCAATTGGTTGGGGAATTCTCAATTCCACAAGGCCAATGTGGTTTTCCTATTGTATGCCAACTTGAAAATGTTTTTATGTCTCAACTGAATTTGTCTCCAGCTTGTCGCAATCCGTGGCTATTTTCTGTCATTGCATTAGGTGCTAGCAATACTGTTACACCTTGATGGTAAGAATCTTGTACCTGGCTGTTTGAACATATTCGGGAATGTACATATTCTAGGAGTTTGTCTGTGATCTATGATAATGTTTGTTACACTCTTAATAATAATTGTTATATTATTGTGAATAATACCACGGAGCAGCTTGTATTATCGTATGTATTAATAATGATGCGATGTACTGAGCGTTTCAACTAACTTTTTCCCGGTTTACCTGAGTTTCTTATCATGTAAAAACTAGCGTTGGCCTTGTGGTGGGATTGGAGTAATATGCAAGTCTTAGGTTTCAATTTTGACGTTATCATTATAATTTTAATGGATAAAAAATTACTTACAAGTAAATTGGCTCTCCGCTTTCTTGTATGTTTTTTTAGGAGGTATTTGGTACAAAGATTTTCTTTTTTTAATTTTTTATTTTTTCAAGAATCTAAAATTAGGAAAGTTAGTTTCATACATTTGATCTACTAATTAAAAAATAATATTATTAAAATACATTGTTTTCAAGAAAAGTTTACTTATGTTTTTCGTGAAACTTTTCCATAGGGATGAATGAAAATTAAACACTTTTGAATTAAATGAAAAATTTTATTCTTGTAAAATGCTATGTTTAATTTATTTATTTTATTGAGTAAACCCAATTTAGTTCGTGAATTTGGAAGGTGTTGTGATAATAGTCCTTGAAACTTAAGTTGTTAAAAACATTCACTACCAAAAGTTTTTGGAATGGTGTACTCTACCCGCAAGGAATTGAATCTTTGTCATTCATTCACTCAAATGGAGATTGAAAAATCTAATTTTTATTTTTATAAAGCATTATACTAAATAACTTGTCTCCTGACAATCGTGAATTGTTTTGGAACCATTTGATGTCACTTTATTAGTTGAATCAAGTATATAAACCTTAATTGGTACTTGATATTCATTCCAATCCACCCAACTTATTTTGTATCTTAAGGAAATCTTTCTCTTTGTACCTTGAAAACCCTCACTTAGCTTGCATTGTACATTGTCTAGACAACAAAAGAGTCCTCCTTTATAATTTGTAAATGGTTGGTTATGAATATCCCTTGTGACATTATAAAAATCCTTTGGAAGACTTAAAAGGTCACATCTACATTGAGTGCAACCTTTCTTATCTTGTGCACCATGTATATCAATGGCCATGTTGTTGAGCAACCATTTCTCTTCATATCCGTTTGGAACTTTTGAAGGGTTACCCAATTCTATTGCAAAAGGATAAGGAATATTTGAGGTTGTTCCTCGTGATTCAACTCTAAATTCCCAATAATGTGGAAGAATAAATCCATTGCACGGGCCTTCATTTCTTTGGTAAATTAAATCCTCGTTGCGAAAAAGTTTAGGACTGCTTGACATAGTAACATTTTCAATATACTTTATTGCAAACCAGTGGTGAAGGTAAGTTTCATAAGATGGTATAGAGTTTTCCTTTGTGATCAACTAATTTAGCATTGAAACTCTTAATTCCAACATGACCTTTTGGAAATTCTATATTCATAAATGTTCTTGAAGCGATAGATCCTGGTCCGATTTCAAAACTTTAAGATATAAAAGTAGCTGTATTGATATGATTTGTAGGCTTTTGATATAGTGAATACGATGTGCTTGGTAGAACCAACAATATTGATAATGAAAGTATCATTGTTTTAGATATAAAGTTCGTGCTATCCTGTAGATGAACAAGGTATTACATTGTTAGCTACAAATTATGTTCATGACACTATTCTTTTAGGTAAGCCTATATAGATAGTTCAAACAAATGATTAAAACAAATACTTACATTAAGTATATTTGAATAACAAATAAAGTATAAATATGGCATACCATATGAAAAGAAGACACATTATTGACCATTGTGGAGATTTGGTACGTATTTGATGAAAGCCTAAGAAATCGTTTAGAAACGTTGGTGCACATATAGAGGTCATGTTTATTACTTTTATAATGGAAGACTTTATAAAGATATAACTAACATAACTGAATGTGAATTCAACACATGTGAAATGATTGCTGTTGTAGCATGGTTTTGGAATTTACAAGTAAGTAAATGGTTTGAACAAAATTTAAAATTTATGCAAGGCACTAAATAACTATCTAGGGGTATTTATAGATATTGTAAGCTGGTGCCAAATGAGAGCTCATGCAAAAAAAGAATTTCTTAATTTATGACAATTTCGTTTCCATGGTAAAAGGTTGTTATTTTTTTTTTCTCATGTTTCTATTAAATATTTAATCCAAAGGCAAGGGAATGTGTACCTCATACATTGTGAAAAATTTTCATTTAAAATGTGTAGTAAATTATCTCAAAATATTGTGTACTATCTCACACTTTAATTTCATAAAAAATATAAAAATATTTCTTTACATCATATGTTTTTTAAAACCAATATGTGAAGCCTTATTTTGCTTTTAAAGAACAAAAAAGTGAAATACTTCATGGAATGGACACGAATTCTCTACCATGTCTTTTATCAAGGTAGGTGATTAATTTTCTCTTTATTTCTATGCAAAAACAAAAAGGCAAACACTTATGATTGGACAATTTTTTAGATATTAAAATTTTGACAAATATATTTGTAATTGAACAATCTTATTTGTTAAATTTTTTAAATCTTGACATTAATTTTAAATATCAAAATTAGTTAATTAAACAACATCACCTAATTTAGTAAAATACATTGAGAAAATAAGATAGGCAATATCTATTGTTGGGATGCAAGCAAAGTCCCACATTGTTCAAACAAGAAGATGGACATGGTATCAAAGTTGATGGTTTGATCAGGTGACCGGTTCAACGAGTATGATTAGGCATGGCAATCTAACCCGTCCCCGTGGGTACCTGCCCGAACCCGCCCCGATTTGGACGGGAAAAACCCATGTTTATCGGGTTCGGGTTCGGGTTTTCCCCGATTGATAAAATCGGGGGCGGGGGCAGGGACGGGGATGTTAATACTCACCCC